TCCGCCTCCCACTCTCTCCCTATTTATTTCAAAACCCCCTTCCCCTCCCCCTTTTCTGATGAAGGGTCTAGGCCCGAAACGTCAGCCTCTCTGCTCCTATGATGCTGCTTGGCCTGCTGTGTTCATCCAGCCCTGCACCTTGTTGTCTCGGATTCTCCAGCATCTGCAGTTCCTACTATCTTTGCTCCATCTTTATTTCCTTTTTGATCATCTTTCGTAGGCTTGAATAACTTTTCCAATGCTCTGATTTATAACCAATCTTTGCCACATTGTATGTTTTTAATTTGAATTTGACACTGTCTTTACTTTCCTTTAGTTAACCATGGTTAGTTTATCCCCTTCTTAGAATCCTATTTCCTCACTTAGATATATTTTTGCTGTGAAACATGAACTTTTTGTAAAATGTCTACCATTGTTTTTCAACCTTCTTTTCTGCTGAACTTCATTTTCACTTCAGCCAACTCTGCCCTCTATCCCATGTAATTACCCTTATTTAAGTTTAGCAAAGCTGTTTCCAACTGAAGTTTCTTACTCTCAAAGTTAATGTTAAATTCTACCACATTACAATCAGGATTTCTGAGAGGATCTTTTACTCTGAAATCACTTATTAGACCTGTCTCATTGCACATTACCAGATCCAAACTAGTCTGAGCTCTGGTTGGATCCACGACATATTGTTATAGGAAATTGTCCTAAATATATTCTATGAATTCTTCTTTGTGGCTGCCTCTGCCAATTTGGTTTTCCCAAGTTGCATGAAGATTAAAGTTACCCATAATTAATGTACTGCCTTTTTTACATGCCCTTATTTTCTGCTGATTTATTCTCTGTCTTACAGAACAGCCACTATTAGTGGACTGCTACTATTAGTGAACAGCTATTATTAGTATAGACTGGTCCCATTAGTGTCTTTTTCCTCTTGTTATTTCTTACCTCCACCAAAATGGATTCTACATCATGCAATCCAAGAGCATTTCTTGCTAATGTAGTAATTCCACCTCATATTAATAAAGCCAAAGTATTGCCACCGGTTGACAGTGAGGAAAAGTTAACTTGGACAGTAAAGTGATGGCAAACAGCTTTACCTGAATTTTTTCTCATTCTCTCCACTACTCAACCCAATTCTGGATGAAACTATGGAGGGAAAATCTTTCCCCATAATGAAAGATCAAACTCAAATGTTAGTGAGGAGTTAATCAATTCTGTCTGACATGGTGAATGGTGTCACATGACTTCTGAAGCTAATGAACTTGAACTATTACTTTGGAAACAACTTAATGTCGATCTCTTAGAAACTCTCCATATCCTATTATACAACTGGAAAAATTACACCAATCCCAACTCTTGGGTTCTTCCATTGTTAAGTAATAGGGACTGGACCTTACTGAAAAAATAATGACTACTAACATGCAACATCAATTAGCAGCTTCACAGACATGCCATGAGTTATGAATTCCCAGAATCTGTTGCTTACTTTACATTTCTTTTGTTTCATACAGCTAACAGATCAGATCTAAATTTGGTAGTCCTATCATAACCAGTTGTAAGTGGTGGACAATTAAACAAGCAACTGGAGGAGATGGAGGCTCCACAAGTACCGTCAATCTCAAGGGGGAGCCCAGCATTTCATTTCAAAAGACAAGGTTTGAAACATTGCATCCACCTTCAGCCAAAAGTGCCAAGTGGTTGATTCATTGCAGCCTCTTCAGGAGGTCCATAGCACCACAGATGTCAGTCTTCAATTAATTTAATTCACTCCTCATTATGTCAAGGCTTAGCTGAAATTGTTGACTCCTGCACAGACTACTGTTGTTTCTGACAACATTCGAGCAATAGTATGGTATTGCAATTTGCAATAAGCAATAGTATGCTCCATTACTTGCTGCTCCTTGAGCCAAGCTGTTCCAATAGAACTACAACACCGATATCTAACTGCCAACATAAATAACTGCAAGGTATATCCTTTCCATTAAAAACAGAACAAATTCAACTTGGTCAATTGCCAATCCTTCAGTTTACTCTCGATCAGCAGTAAAATGACAAAAGTGCTCTCAAGTGCACTTGCTTAGCAATAACCCGTTCACTGGTGCTTAGATTGGCTTTCATCAAGGCCATTCTGCTGCTGACCTTAATACAGCAGTAATAGTCAAAACATGGGTGAGGTGAAAATGACTGCCTTTGACATCAAGGCAGTATTTGGCAGTGTATGGCATGAATGAGCCCCAGCATAATTGTGATCAATTTTGTTTAATTATTTTGTTAAGCATTTTGATTTGCAATTAAGCCAACTCTTTTATTTTATTTTTATTTTGACTGTATTTTAACTGCAGTGTAAAACTAATGGGTGTTTTACTTAAAGTCCAGTAGTTTGACCAATCGAATTGCAACTGAAATGTAATGCCTTAACCTTTAAAATTAGAAAACATTAGGGTCTAGGCTACCTTCTGAACATATTTTGAAGGGGTTTGATCTGATCCATAAAAACATATAGTGACAACTTTTAAAATTTTCAAATATCTGAATAAATAATAAATATAGTTTGATAGGCAGTTTAGAATCATAGAATTTTCTTTTGATTGATTTGTTTTCATTTCTGAATATTCATTATCAACTCTGTCCTTTAATAAAATTCCACAGTAGATGAATCTGTAACCTTACTAATTCCAACCAACATAGAACCAGCATCACATCAAAGGAGAAATTACCCTTAGGTAATGGTAATGCTATGAAAGACGCACCTGATACCAGGAACAATGTCAATACACTCTTCTACTTACTCATAGTATTCAGCAGCAGGATTGGATTTGTACTCATAATATTTTGTGGATGTGTTTTGCTGGATAAAGTTGTTGAAGTCAGAGCAATTGGGGCTATTCCAACTATTGTTGCAGTGGATCCAGGGTAGTTCCATGGTAAAAGATGCATATAAATAATAGAGCGCCCAGGCAATGATTACATTGTAATAGAAACCAACATACAGTGCAATCAGGATAACTGTGAAGCCAACACCTAAAATAAACAACAGAGAATCAATGTTTGATGTATATCTGCATTGTTATTTTAAAAGTAGAATCGAGCATCTTTCCTGTGAAAATAAAATTTTGACAATACTGCTCATTATACTGTAGATAAAGGTGACTCCAAACGTTGGTAACATAGAACAGCGTGGATAATGATTACAAGGGTGTAAACGAATCAAGGATATCAAACATGTCACAAATTTGCAAGCATTCTATAAGCAGTAACCGATGACTGAGTTAGATTGTTGTCATGAGATCACACCAGGATACATTTAAAACTACGTATGCTGTCAATATTATGGTGATTTTATTCCACTTGAAGTCTGTACAATGCGTGTAGCAACTAATTAGTGCAGATAGTGATTGCTAGTACACTTCAGGAGTAATGACATACCCCAGAGAATTAACAAACAGAAAAGCATTGCTGTAAGCTTATCAGGAAAAGATATGATTATTAAGAATATCATTATTCAGTATTATTTGTGCTATCACATATCAATAAACGTGTGTTACTTCAGTTCATATTGCTTCACAGATAGAACATACAAAGAACATAGTACAGTGCAGCACAGTACAAGCCCTTCGGCCCATAATGTTGTGCCGACATATTATCCAACTCGAAGATCAAACTACCTTGCATATCCTACATTTCACTATTATCCATGTGCCTATCCAAGAGTTGCTTAAATGTCCCTCATGTATCTGACTCCACTACCACGGCCGGCAGCGCATTCCACGCATCCACCACTCTCTGTGTAAAGAACCTACCTCTGACATCTCCCCTATACCTTCCTCCAATCACCTTAAAATTATGCCCCCTCGTAATAGTCATTTCCACCCTGGGAAAAAGTCTCTGGGTATCCACTCTATCTATGCCTCTTATCATCTTGTACACCTCTATTAAGTCACCTCTTATCCTTCTTTGTTCCAATGAGAAAAGCCCTAGCTTCCTCAACCTTTCCTCGTAAGACCTGCCCTCCAGTCCTGGCAGCATCCTGGTAAATCTCCTCTGCACCCTCTCTAAAGCTTCCACATCCTTCCTATAATGAGGAGACCAGAACTGAACACAATATTCCAAGTGTGGTCTAACCAGGGTTTTATAGAGCTGCTGCTTAATTTCGCAGCTCTTAAACTCAATTCCCCTGCCAATGAAAGTCAACATACCATACGCCTTCTTAACAACCCTATCAACTTAGGTAGCAACTTTGAGGGATCTCTGGACGTGGACCCCAAGATCCCTCTGTTCCTCCACACTGCCGAGAGTCCTGCCATTAACCCTGTATTCTACATTCAAATTCGACCTTCCAGAATGAATCACTTCACACTTTTCTGGGTTGAATTCCATCTGCCACTTCTTTGCCCTGCATCCTGTCAATGTCCCGTTGCAACCTACAACAGCCCTCCATGCTGTCCACAACTCCACCAACCTTCGTGTCAGCGGCAAACTTACTAACTCACACTTCCACTTCCTCATCCAAGTCATTTATAAAGATCACAAAGAGCAGAGGTCCCAGAACAGATCCCTGCGGAACACCACTGGTCACCCAGCTCCAGGCTGAATACTTTACATCTACTACCACCCTCTGCCTTCTATTGGACTGCCAATTCTGTATCCAGACAGCCAAATTTCCCTGAATCCCATGCCTCCTAACTTTCTGAATGACCTTACCATGGGGAACCTTATCAAATGCCTTGCTAAAATCCATATACAGCACATCCATTGCTTGACCTTCATCAACGTGTTTTGTCATATCCTCAAAGAATAAGGCTTGTGAGGCATGACCTGCCCCTCACAAAGCCATGCTGACTATTTCTAATCAAACTGTGCTTTTCCAAACAATCATAAATACTATCTCTCAGAATCCTCTCCAATAGAAGTAAGACTAACTGGTCTGTAATTTCCAGGATTATCCCTATTCCCTTTCTTGAACAAGGGAATAACATTTGCCACCCTCCAATCATCTGGTACTACTCCAGTGGACAGTGAGGACGAAAAGATCATCGCCAAAGGCGCAGCAATCTCTTCCCTCACTTCCTGTAGCACCCTTGGGCATATCCTGTCTGGCCCAGGGGACTTATCTATCCTCACGTTTTTCAAAATTTCTAGCACATTCTCCTTCCTAACATCAACCTGTTCGAACATATCAGCCTGTTTCATGCTGTCCTCACAAACGTCAAGGTCCCTCTCACTGGTGAATACTGAAACAATGTATTCATTAAGGACCTCCCCTACCTCCTCTGACTCCGCGCACAAGTTCCCTCCACCATCCATGATCAGCCCTACCCTCACTCTGGCCATCCTCTTGTTCCTCACATAAGTATAGAACCCCTTGGGGCTTTCCTTAATCCTACCCGCCAAGGCTTTTTCATACCCTTTTCTCGCTCTCCTAAGTCCATTCTTCAGTTCCTTCCTGGCTACCTTGTAACCCTCTAGAGCCCTGTCCAATCTTTGCTTCCTCAAACTTAAGTAAGCTTCCTTCTTCCTCTTGACTAGAGGTTCCACATGTCTTGTCATCTTCCTTCACCTTACCATCCCTTTCTTGCCTCAGAGGGACAAACCTATCCAGTACTCGTAGCAACTGCTCCCTAAACAACCTTCACATTTCTGTCGTGCATTTCCCTGAGAACATCTGTTCCCAATTTATGCTCCGCAGTTCTTGCCTAACAGCATTGTAATTCCCTCTCCCGAATTAAATACTTTCCCATACCGTCTGCTCTTATCGCTCTCTATGACAATAGTAACGATCAGGGAATTGTGATCACTATCACCAAAATCCTCTCCCACCGAGAGATCTGACACCTGGCATGGTTCATTGCCAAGCACCAAATCCAATTTGGCTTCCCCTCTAGTCGGCCAATCTACATATTGAGTCAGAAATCCTTCCTGGACACACCTGACAAAACCTGCTCCATCCAAACTATTTAAACTAAGGAGGTTCCAGTCTATGTTAGGGATGTTGAAGTCACCCATGACAACAACCCTATTACTTCTGCGCCTTTCCAAAATCTGCCTCCCAATATGTTCCTCAGTGTCTCTGTTGCTACTGGGGGATCTATAGAAAACTCCCAATAAAGTGACTGTTCCTTTCCTGTTTCTTACTTCCAGCCATACTGACTCAGTGGACAAATCCTCCTTGACGACCTCCTTTTCTGCAACCATGATACCATCCCTGACTAGCAATGCCACTCACCCACCTCTTTTACCTCCCTCTCTATTTCTTTTGAAACATCTAAACCCCAGAGCATCCAAAAACCATTCCTGCCCCTGTGTTATCCAAGTTTCCATAATGGCCACAACATCGTAGCTCCAAGTACTGATCCATGCTCTAAGTTGATCACCCTTATTCCTGACACTTCTTGTGTTAAAATGGACACACTTCAACCCGTCACACTGATGGCAACTTTGCCCTATCAACTGTCTATCCTTCCTCACAGACTCTCTGCATGCTGCATCTGCCTGTACACTAGCTACCCATCCTTTGATCCGTAGCTGTGGTTCCCATCTCCCTGCCAAACTGGTTTAAACCCTCCTGAAGAGCTCTAGCAAACTTCCCGCCCAGGATATTGGTGCCCCTCCAGTTCAGGTGCAACCCATCCTTCTTGTACAGGTCCCACCTTCCCCAGAAGGTATTCCTATGATCCACATATCTGAAGCCCTCCCTCCTACACCAGCTCTGTAGCCACGTGTTCAGCTGCATTCTCTCTCTGTTCCTAGCCTCACTAGCCCGTGGCACTGGTAGTAATCCTGAGATTACCACTCTGCTCGTCCTGACTTTTAGCTTCCAACCAAACTCCCTATATTCACTTTTCAGGTCCTTGTCCCTTTTCTTAGCTATGTCATTGGTACTGCTGTGTCATGACTTCTGGCTGCTCACCCTCCCCCTTAAGAATCTTGTAGACTCAATCCGAGACATCCCTGACCTGGCACCCGGGAGGCAACATACCATCCGGGAGTCTTGATTGGTACCACAGAATCTCCTGTCTGTTCTCCCAACCATTGAATCTCTATTGCTCTCCTATTCTTCCCCCTTTCCTTCTGAGTCACAGAGCCAGGCTGAGTGCCAGAGACCTCGCCACTGTGGCTTTCCCCTGGTAGGCCGTCCCCCCCTCAACAGTACCCAAAGCAATAAAGTTATTATTGAGGGGAATGGCCACAGGGGATCCCTGCACTGTCCGCCTATTCCCTTTCCCTCTCTTGACGGTCACCCAGCTACCTTTATCCTGTAACTTGTTCTGATAGGGCATGCATGAGCATACGATTTGTATTGTGGCTGTTATAAAGCACATCATTTACATCATTTCTATTACTACAAGAATATTACTTAAATTGCATAATGCCTCAGAAAAGCTTCCTTGTTGGTTCAGGGCTATAGTGGAATTATGTTCTTGTTTTCAATTTATCACATTTTTCTGTTCAGTCTTCTATGCTGAGTCAATATTGCAGAAGGAAATTTGAAAGCAAACAATGGCTGTGGTAAACTTTTTTTTATTAACAAATGTTAAATTATTACGTTCTATGTCTCCTTACATGTTGCATTTAAACCTAAAGGCACAATATATGGGATTTATTTATAGAATGTTGATCCTTGATGTCTAAATTATATTCAGACATAATTATATAATTATATACACAGACAATAGAAAATGATTTACAAATACAATATTCTCTAAAATTATTTTGATTTTAACTAGTTTGGACCAGCATCAGATTTACAATGAGGCATTTTGACTTTGATTTCAATGTTCTCTGATAAACATCATCAAATAGATATTTGTGTATAATATTTATCGCAACCGAACTACAAAAATCCTGAACCAAAAGGTTTGTTGATGTTTTTAGAGAACCAATCTATTCATGAAAGAAAGATTGTTATAGGTACTGAAAAAGCCTTTTGATGACAGCTGGGACTTCTAAGAATATTTTGCACATTGACGTTATTAGAGGATGTTTTCAGAGTTTCTCCTTGTAGAGATTCCGTATTCGAAATTTGCCCCTGTACCATGAAATGGTGAACACATTTGCTGTCTTACTTGAAGCACAGAGAAAACTGGCAATCGGTGCAGCTAATTCCTCAAAGAAACACATGGGATTTTTGTAATAGAAATGTCCACTGAACTCCAAGTGTCTTCAGCAAGCCCTTGCATCTCAACTATCTGATTTGTCCCCACACTGACACACAGGATAAACTGCTCTTAAATACTGTCTCACTTGTTAACTGAAAGCCCTGAGAAAATCTGCATTTGGTTTTAAACATTGAGTGTAAAAAAGTTTGAGTAACTGTACAACAGTCCAAACTGTGACATCTATGAAGCAATATTTACAATGTACAAGCTTCAACATTGAAAGTTCTCAGGTTATCTATCACCTGCTGATAATGAAATTAGCATCAAGAAATATTCTGCTTTAATGGTGTAAACCTGAAACTTTTGCAAGACATAATAGCTCTGTAGCGTAAAAACTGGAATAGTGGTAATAGTACCGTAAAAACTCAGCCAAATGGTACACTAGAATTTTACTGTTTCTGTTTTCTTTGCCCCTTCTCAAAATATACTGATTCATGGTAAACAATGCTGCCAGTGTACCAAGCAACATTGCTCATCTTATTAGTGTAGACAGAGGCTTCTTCCTGGGACAAGCCACAATCATTTTTACTGGCAGTGACACCTGCATTTTCTGAAACACGCAGTAAGAAGTAGGGGACAAAAACAGAAATTGCTCATATATGGTGTATTCACATATACCACCTGTTAACTACAAATCAGTTCTGAAGAAGGGTCACTGGACTTGAAATGTTAACTCTGCTTTCTCTCCACAGATGCTGCGAGACCTTTCTCCATAACTTCTGCTTTTGTTTCAGATTTCCAGCATCTGCGTGATCGGGAATGGAAATCCGAACTGATATGAATTCCATTCATTTTAGAAGTCTGATTAATGAATGCAAAACAGCCGCTTACCTTTAAATATGGGGCAGATCTTCCAAACTCCTGCAGCTCCTTCCCTGTTGTACTGTCCCAGTGCCAATTCCATGTAAAATAGTGGCATTCCAGCAATGAACATAAAGAACAAGTAAGGAACGAGAAATGCCCCTGCAGAAAATCAAAGCAGTTTTCAGTATCCAGTATGAGCGAAAAAAGTCGAGTTGTAGATGTACACTTACATGATCCTTTGTGTCTAGCCCTGGATTAAGACCCGTATTGGAAACAGAGAGCACCCATATAGGACATGAATAGTTAGTGTGTTTTCACTTTTTTCATTCACTAACTTGAGTTGCAAAAAGCTTTGCCATTATTTGATATGTCTATGAATTACTTAGCCATGTTTGCAATTAATAATTTAATCTATGAACAGAATGCACAGGGAAATGCGCAGAATAGGCGGAAAATGAGTGCGTGGGGTGCGGGGGTGGTGGGGAACGATACAGTCTGGTTGCGCTGTCTAGTTTTTATTTAACCGATGGGATTAAAGAGCAAAACTATCAACGATTTCTATCACTGCAATCCACTCAACCTGGAGTCAACACACACGCAGCCTGAAATATTGTTAACACGGCTTAAGACTGATGCATGCTTGCTGAGGAGAAAAAGAAAGAACAAGAAATCAAGCCCACTCCCCCCTACCCCACCCCCCAGGGAAACAGAAATGCAGTAAGTCGTTGGTGCTGCATTGGGCGCTCCTACCTCCGCCGTTGCGATAACAAAGATAAGGGAATCTCCAGACATTGGCCAGGTCCACGGCAAAACCAACAACTGAGAGCAGGAAATCGATCTTCTTCGCCCAGGTCTCCCTGTTCACAGGCTCATCCTCTCCTCCAGGAAGCTGGGAAGAGCTGAGCAGAGTGGAATTGGTGAACTGAACGCCGTTCTGTTCCTTTACCAGAATCAGCTCCACCTTCTTGGTCTCCATCCTGTTGAACTCTTGGACTGGAGCCACGACTGAAGACATCAGGCTGGGGAGTTTGCCTTTGATCATGGGAAGCCCTGCGCTCTTCCGATCTCAAACCAGCTCAAGTACTCGACTTGGCTCGGCTGTTTGTTTGAGCGGCACTAACAGCAGCAAATGTCTCAGCGTCACCGACTCAACCTCGAAAATAGGAGAAATCGGAACCACTACAAAATCAATCTATCGAGTCAATAAAAAAATCCAACAGATCAACTAAGAACGAAAAAGATAAACAGTAGATATGAAACGGTGATCATGAATGTTATTAATTAGGTTCTGGTGTGGCATTCGATTACTCGTACTGCAGTCTCTAAACGATTGATAACTATCAGTTCGTTTCTGGATTGTACATGAATAACTACTGTCCCCAGCCGTTTTCCATCCACTTTGATATGATGGTGCATATAGATTGCATTTCTGTTGTTTAGATTAACTCAATTATTGAAAAGGTTAGCAGTTTTATTCGATATACATGCCTCCTTCCATCTGTTTTGGAGCAAGATTGTAGCATCAATGTCGTAATAATTATACCTCAAAAAGTTCTTTCCAACAACTGCCGGCTTCAGCGGATTTGTTTTTCAAAGTATCCGGAATCCTGCCACTTCTAAAACATCTGAGAATGGCAACCTCACGATTACACCCGAAATACAAACTACATGAAATAAATACCCTCTTACGACACATATTTTGTTTTTTAGTTAATACAACCGTCATCCCGTTCAGCATGTGTTCTTATTCATTTTGCTTTTTTTAAGTTACACGATCAAAGTAAAACTTTGTCACAATAATACGCCAGCACTTTTTGTTAGCCCACCATCTTCTTCTTTCAGAGCTAAACTAAAGGAAAAAAAAACTTTAAAAAATCAGCGTTACCTGTTCAGTTATACAAGACTGGTCACAGTTACTGCGATATCTGTCTGATCTCCGGAGTTCAGTAAACACAGAGAATTGGCAGAGGTGGCAAAACGAAACCGGGAGGACAGTTAGGCCCTGGGCTAGAGTTAGGCAGCAAGCACCTCACTGCCAGACTGAAGGTAATGAGAAAAACGGACGACGGCTCCCAAATCTACCGGCGCTAGTTTCAGATTTACAGGGTCGCACTGAAGAGACCAAGTTATGCCGTCTGAGAATGAGAGCTCGATTTGAATGGTTTGCTGATCGGGAGGGGCTGGACTGTCAAGCAGACACTCAAAAATTGGAAGAAGTCCAGTGCCGTTCATTGTTTCCGTAGGACAGCGTTTAACACAAGTTAATTCCCTCTACTTAGAATGTATAGCCCAGCATCTCCTGGTCATGCGTCAGGACTGACAGGTACGAATCAAGGCTGTGTGTTTTCCGTTATTTGCGTCTTCTTATTGGCTTTATATATGTAAGGTATTATTTAATCTCACTATATTTGCTTTTAACTTGAAACCCAGGATTGAAATATAGATTTAAAAATCTCAAAATACTGCGTGGATTGGAAGTTTGAAATTAATACAAAAAAATGTTCGTCACAGTCAGTAAGTCAGGGAGCCTCTGTAAGGAAGTGGATAATTCAGAACAATTCACTACGGAGAAAAAGGTATAAGCCTACAAACTTCATATAAACATATCTGCAATTTATGAAAGAATATATCGTTTATAATGATATTTTTTCATTTTTTCAAACTTCATTTTCAAATTTTTTATCAATCGCCAATACACATTTTAACTATGCTTTTCTCCATTTAGAATCCCAATTTGGAGTAAGTTTCGGAAAAATCATTATATGATGGATTAATAAGTCATGAGTCTCTAGAAGCTTTAACATGTCCCAAGTCTTTCAATGCATAGAAGAGTAGGCGCGGGCAATGTGCACCAATTGACCACGCTTATTGTTTCAAACCTGGTTAATTTTAAAAGCGGAAACATTTTTGTTGTTTTGACAGCTCAGTAAACACGAGCAAAGAAAACGCATTTAAACTATCCCCTGAAGCAAAAAGATCGTTTCGCTCATTTTCGTTTATAGTATGTACATTTTTTCGAAGTGCGACCCTGCTGTTTGTAGAATGATATTAACCACAATTCCGAAAAGTATTATAAACCTTCCAAGACCTCGGGAGAGCAAAACTGCCTGTCTGGGTCAGGTGGTTCACAGCAAACTGCAAATACAAATTCATAGTGATTTTCCATCTTAAATTTCACCTAACAGCAAGAATATTTGAACATTGTAACATGAATTAGGTTATAATTTATATTCAATCCACCTTAACTGGTCTGCCTTAGAATTCTGTTTGTTGTGAGATTGGCAATAATGACATCCATCTGACAGAGAAATATTCACGGTCACGTCTAAACGGTCTGAACATTCAACACTCTGCCATTTTCATGATCACATTTTGTAAAGGTTTCGCATTGAGGATTTTGTATGGTTATATTATTCTTCATATTCCAGAAATCAGACAGACTGTGGCAGTTTGTGTAATAATCGTCGGCAAAATGGTGACTCGATTCATGGTACACACAGTCAGCGGAGGCTCTGGCAAGACGAGAACAGAAAGGAAACAAAATATCGCTAGTTTCTCTCTCTTTCCAGAACAGGCGGTTGAAACCCCACCCTGACAAGAGGCTAATTCTGTCTTAAAGATGTATCTCATTTCATGCGCGCCCCAGTTCTCTGAGAATGCTTGAACTTGAATGAAGCTTAGCGAGTGATTCCAAATGTTATGTATTTTTAAAGTTGCTTTGCGAGTTCACTTTCTAATCCAGACGAATTGACGATTAATTTATGACCGGAAAGCAAGAAGCATACCTGAGTGTGATCTAAGAATGTGCGCCATTGGTAATGTATTAAATGGTATTAAGATCCGCTCTTGGAGAAGTAGTTAGGATAAAAAGAAACATTGTTTGCATAAAGTCAATGTTTCTTGGAGGCGTGGTCTCTGACAGACCAACTGATGTTTACATTATGCATATAACATATAAATGGATGCAATTTACTACCTATACTAATTCAAGAGTGTAAAATAAATTTTAAGAAATCTAGAAGAGCCATTCAGCTCACCATAGATTCACATGTTAAGAAATATGCCCCTACGGTCCGTGTTTTGTAGCCTCCAATAATTCCAGGGAGTATGTTTTCATCGCTCTACCTAGGAGTTCATTCCATATGTTGATCAGTCTTTATGGGTAAAAAATAAGTCCTATCCCCATATTAATTTTTTTTACTGGTTTGAATCTATAATACCTCGTACAGTTACATTACGTTCATACTTGCCTCTATATTGTTTTGCTGTTAAATACCGTTACAAACATATTGCTCAAGTATTTTCTGCTGAGCTAAAAAGTCTCACATTTTTCCAACCTTTCAACAGAACTCTCGACATTGAGAGAACCACGTGAATTTTACCTTGTGCTTCTGGAGTCCAGCTGTGAAGGCTATACTGTTGCCTGATCAGAACACTGCATGATTTCTTCCAAATTATACTTTACAGTCTTAGCTTTCCTTCAGCGCGCTGTTTGCTCAGTTGATTGCTGACTTGTGGTGGATGGACATATGCAGTCCAGAAACTAAGATTTCTAAAATGCATCATTGTTTCTTCTTATAGGTAGTCGCCTAATATTTAGTTGTTGCATTTCGCCGACGTGCAGGTGTTGCCTCGTTCATTTCGTATTTTCTGAGCGTAATTAGAATCAACAGGTTTTTTTTTCATTCGGCAACGGAAACAATGGACGTGATTTTACGGTCCTTTGAACGGCGTGGTGGGCTGCGGGAAACCAGACTGGGAGGGTTTCCCGAGGTTTACCCTGACTCTCTCAAATTTTAGGCAATCTAGAAGTCGTGTCTGTCCATTGATTCCTTCAGTTTAACCACGACGTATGGCTTCTTTAATGTCTCTTAGGACTCTGGAGTAAACCTCATTCACGTCTAATGTTTTATTTGTTTCCCACTCCTTTAGTCCCTTACGACTTTATATCAAATTCATTAATCGTGTTTATGGAGGATATGTTGCTTATGTCATTTCCAGCGATGGAGGAAATTACCAGTTGTTTTATTTATTTTACAACCCATATGTTAATGAATAGAACACCCTTTATACTGATTTGAATCCATCTCACAATAATGGGAACAGGGCAGAAGAACCTAGATTCCCACATGATGAATGTGGGAAATTCACACTGGACTGGTAGAGTTGTATTCTCCAGCTAAAAATATGATTTTAAAAAACTGGAGCTATCAATCAGCACCTGGTACACCTTCCCACTTTCAATTGAGGTGAGTCTAGGCACTGGTCACTTAAAGATGAAATACCTAAATGATGTTGCAATGGGCAAGGTCACCCCCAATATTTGGTGGAAATGTGCTAATTTGAGCACCTTACTCTATTTTCCCAAAACTCTGTAGCCTGCCAGTCAATCAATTTCCCAGTCCTGTCAATAATTTGCCCTCAGTTTTGCACGCTTTACCTTTGTTAACAGCCTCTTATGTTGAACTTTATCAAATGCCTTCTCGAGTCTATATAAACAACATCCATTCATTTGCCTTGCCCACTACCTTCATTCACGCTTCAAAAATTTTGATGAGGTTTGTCAGGCATTACTTACCTGTCATGAATCCATGCCTGCTCTCTCTGATTAACTAAAAATGTTAAAGGTGTTCAGTTACCCTATCCTCAATTATAGACTCCACCAATTTCCCCATTACAGATGTTAGGCTAACTGGTCTGTAATTCCCTGGTTTTCGTCTTTCTTAAAAAGATTTCTGTTGGTGGTAGATGTCTGCACTGAATGCCATCCTAGCATTATGGCCTAGTACACTCAGGCATACAAGGGAATTTCAACAAAACATGGTGATGTGGTGGCTCAGTGATTAGCACTGCTGCCTCACAGCACCAGGGACCCGGGTTTGATTCCACCCTTGGGCGACTGTTTGTGTGGAGTTTGCACATTCTCCCCGTGTCTGCGGGGGTTTCCTCCCACAGTCCAAAGATGTGCAGGTTAGGTGGATTAGCTATGCTAAATTGCTCATAGTGTTCAGGGGATGTGTAGCTTAGGTGGGTCATAGGGGG